AACAAAAAAATATTTTAATTTATATTTTTAAAATAAAATATTTTATTTTTTAATAAAAATTTATTAAAATAACATAATTTTAAAAAATTTTCCTTCAAATTTTTAAAAAATAAGGGAGATAAATTTTATTTCCATATATATACTATCAATTTAGATTACATATATCAAGATTAGTATGTTTATTTAAAATTAATTGTATTTGTTTTTAGAATTAAATTCTAATTAACTCTGAACCTTATAGAAACTAGGAAGATTAATTTTTTCTATGGCCACCCTATATTTGATTATTTGTATTAAAATACGGTGAGATCTGTAACCTGTGAGAATGGAAAACTTTAGAGTGCGATTACTAAATCATGAACTTGAAGTGAAGTTAGGAAAATTGCATATGCCTATAAATGTTGGCTGGTTGTCCTATTCCTTTTTTTTTTTTTTCTTACAGTCAGGGTATTTTTAGACTAATTTGTATGCCCTTGAGACTAACATATTTTTGGTTTGATGAAAATCATGTCATCTATAATAAATTTATGAGGAATTATCTACTTATTAGTCTTTTAAAAAAATTAACTTTAATTAATAAGATGGGAAGCTTACTGATTTTTTTTTTTTTTATGAAATGTATGAATGAATATCCCTTATACTCTTTTTTTTAATAAAATATTTTGATTCATAAAAAAAAAAAAAATTAATAAGATGGGAAGCAACCCCATTTAGGCTAAGAGTGGGCAAAAAAATCATTAAAACAAAAATGATCTAAATAATTATTCTAAAAAATATAACTAAAATCAATAAAACTTATCTTTTTCAATTTAATTAATAATTATTAAAATTTAAAACTTAAAATTTTAATTAACTAATAATTCAACTTCGATTATAACTAAAACCCAACCGTACAACACAGCCTCACACGACTCCTCAAGTGCGGTGCACCATTCTCGTAAGTCATCTCGACTGATTCTAGATTCTATAAATGTTCGAAGTCATAACAAATTTAACTAAACTTTGAGAATGAAGACCTTAAGTTCTATCCTAGGCGCACTGATCCTCGTGATCTTATGTTTTATATCTCATAATAAGGTGCATCTCTTTAATTTTAAAGTTAAAGTTTGAATTTTTCTCT